CTCCCTTTCTCCCCCACCATGCACCTCAACTCTTTATCTGATTGCGCCTTTTAAAATCATAGCACTACAGTTTCACCCTATCCCCCCCCCAACCCCTGCATATCCTTGCAGCCTATCTCCCCACCTTCCTTCCTCTTTCCCGACATAGCACATTTCCCCTAATGTACTTGAAAACCACCCTCCGTCACTCCCTCATGCAGATGTAGTGCGGATCGCCAGGATATTTTCTTTCAACGCCTTATTTTCCTGCGCTCGTTGCCTAAAGATCCTTCTCCCTACCCCCCTCCCCAACACACACACGCGCACAAACACACACACACACACACACACACACACACACACACATCCACATCCACAAATACACACGCACACAAGTTTACTCACATAGATATGATATAATATACTGAGGTGCAAAAAAAACCCGCGAATTTTTATTACACCACAATGATTGACAAAATGCAACCCACAGGTTTCAAGTTATTTGTTGTGTTTATTAACTGAAGCTTAACACACTTCTTGAGTGATATAGCTGGCATGGACTGAGGGTTCAACATATTCATCTGAGCTCACGTTGACCTTGACCTTGGTGAGCAAACTTAGTAACGCGTATGGCCTCCACGTGCAGCGATTACAGCGAGGCATCTTCTGCTCATAGAGTTAATCAAACAGTTGATGTGGCCATTTTGGATGCCACCGAAGATCTGGATGATGGTTGCAGTCAACTGGGCTGCTGTTGGAGTCCGTGGCTGCATCTGATTAAGCTCTCTTTGGATCACGTCCCACAAATGTTCAATAGGGTTCGAGTCAGGTGAGCGAGGTGGGTATGCCCGGTGGGGGTCCTGTTGTATGGATGTGAGGCATAGAACACATCACAGACGTGTGTAAAGAGGATCCAGGTTTTCTTGAACAGGTGTCCAAGAAAGTTACTGAGGATCAAATGGACAGACAGGGTCACCAAGTGGAAGTGTTAAGGAAAACAAAACAGATCCCAGTCAGAGATGAGGTAGGAAGAAGGCGGTGGCGATGGATACTCTCAGGAAGTCAGGCAGCTGTATAACGAAGAAAGTTTTGGATTGGAACCCACAGGGCAAGAGATCAAGGGGAAGACCTCGTGGAACC